ATGTCTAACGGAAAGAAAATTTCTAGAAATGGGAAAAAAATGCCCTCCAAATAGGGGCTAATATTAGTATCTACTTTCATGTGTATTTATGTAGTATTATTTTAAATATTAAAAAATTTAATTATAGTACGGAACCGAACGGTTCCAAAATTATATTTGGAACCGACGGTTCCATTTACTAAAGAACCGAAAATTTCTGGAATCGAAAAAAATCGAACCGACCCGCGCCCACCCCTACTCATTGCTAGATTGTACACCTTCTACTCCACTTCAAGCATGCTCAACAAAATCAGCATCCACATACCTTATTTCACTAGGTCTGTCTCTAGCAATTGGATACAATGGCACCGCAGGTGATGGTGTCATAGTGGCATTATCCATATTTTCTGAACTTAACTGAACAGTATTCTTCAAATCCTACCATTTACCAGCTCCTAAAGGTATTGTACCAAACTGAATGTCCACCACGATACTGAACTTGTGCTAATTGACTCTTCTAAATTCTGTACGACCCTACAAGATGTATAACTGAGACATTTTTTTTCCCTTCAATACAACTTGGGCACTCTTACAAACCTTTTAAACTTCACATCCACCAAAGAACGCATAACCTTTTGAATCAAGAATAGACAATGAGATGAGATTCTTTTTCAAATCTGGAACATGTCGAACATGGCCAAACATTTTAATTGTCTCATCCAAAAGCTTCAATCTGATTGTACCAATTCCAGCAACCCGACAAAAGGCGTTGTTTCTCATAACCACGACGCCTTTGGAAACGATTTCATATGTAATAAATAAGTCCTTATTAGGACACATATGAAACACGCATACTGAATCAAGAATCCAATCATCTTTCGATTTAGACTCAATGTCAGAAATAGCTAAGAGATCTCCATCACTTACAACGTTCTCTGTGAGGTCTGCTTCGCTTGAAGTATCTAAATATCTACTTGCAACCATCTTTAGAAATAGCTAAGAGTTCCCCATCACTTACAACGTTCTCCGCGATGTCTGCTTCGCCTGAAGTATCTGAATATCTACTTGCAGCCATCCTTTCTTTATTCTGCAATTTGTAGCAATCCTTCTTTAAGTGCCCCTTCTTCTGCAATAGTTACAAATTTGATTACTAAACTTAGACTTCAATCTGCCCCCTTCCAGAACCACCATGGCCTTCTCCATCACTAGTCTCAGAAACCAGATGTTTCATCTTCTCTTTTGAATACAAAATATCATTACCCTTCCCTATGGTGAGAGTATCACGATTATATAAGATCGTGTCTCTAAATGAAGAAAACGAAGCAGCCAACGAATACAATAAGATCAAGACCAAATCTTTTTTATCATACTCTACTTCCAAAATTTTCAAATCAGGGACAATCTCTTTAAATACAGCCAGATGATCTACCAATGATCCTCCTTATGCCATTTAATGAGAGTATAAACGCTATTTGAGGTTCAACTTGCTTGTCAGACTTTTAGTCATGCACAATTGCTCCAACCTCAATCATAAAGCAGCTGCTGAATTCTCCTTCAAAACATCTTGAAGAATAATATTTGATAGATGAAGATGAATGTGAGAAACTATCTTCTTATCTTTCAGTAATTTATCCTACACGGTCAAAGTTGCGGACATCTTGTCAATTCCCAACAACGCATCATCCAAATCCAACTGTGCGAATACTGCACACATCTTAACCTACCATAGTGAAAATCTAGTACTCTAATCCAAAAACAAAATGTCATACTTTATAAAAGCTATCACGAACAAAAACTTCAAACAAATCAAAAATTGCACTCTTGCGGAACTGCTGAACCTGGGCTCTGATACCAATTGTTGTGAAACAAACTGTCGGATTGAGATGTTGAAGTTATATGGAAAATAATAATGAAATATATGATCAAGTAAAAGAATAATAAAGACTAGAATGTGGCAGATAAATTAAGAGATTTTATTGACTCAAGAATAATGGATAAGAGAGAAAATTACAATGTATCCTATAATTTTAGTAATCTATTTTCTCACACTTTTAAAATTTTATAGAAGAACCTAATATTAATAAGGAATATGTAGGGGATGTCCAAACCCTCATAGTAGAATTATCGATGAAGTAGGATACCAAAAAATCGAGTCCAAAATAAATTTCAACTCCTAATGGGCTTCCAAAATAGAACATCAACTTGACATAGGACTCCAATAGTATTCCAAACTTGAATTCTCCTTGACGTGCACTTCAATTAGAATTCTTCAATTCCTTCAACAAGAAATTCGGGTCACACCCAAATTCTAACACTGTTTCGCTTGTCATGATGTCCACCATCATGATGCAATTTGCCTCAATCCTAGCACTAGCTTTGGAATGGAACTTAGGTAATTTTCTCGAGACCCTCTTTAATCCCCTTTCACAATTTCCACTCCAATTTCGAAGGAACTTCATGGTGAGGTGATGCATGCAGGTGACAGTTTTCGATTCCATTGGAGCTGGCCTTCCTAAGACTACATTATATGCTGACATGTTGTCTATGAGTAGCTTTGGTCGTAGTCCCTATGATGGTAGATAGGCTTTCTCCTTCAACGCGATGCCCTCTTTGGTAAATCTATACAGTAAGTTCGAAATTGTGATTAGCAGATGGTCTACCTCCATTTGATTAAAGGTAGACCCAAAGATAGTATTGATCAAAATTTCATTGTCGACCAATATCCTCTTCATTCTATTTACTGTTGTTTCGATCATTACCAAAATATCATAGTAGAGGTAGTGAACACCATCTTCATCTTCTTCTGTAAAGCTTATATCCTCAGTCGCCAACTTTTTTTTTCTCTGTTTTATTCTTGAGCTTTATTCCCTATACCAGATAGATAGTCATTAAACGTTCTCTTGCCTTCGGGCATAAATTTATTGGCATTTACGGGCCATTGATAAGTGTGATTTTACGCTTGTTCGAAACACTAAAAGCAGGTGTTTGGAAGTGCTTTAAAGTTTTGGGTATTTAGTTTTGCTATTATTATGATTAATTTAGGAGAAAATTATTTTGAATGCGAAAGGATGAAAAGGAACAAGATTTGATCAATTAGGATTGAAGTTGGAAATTCAGTGACCAAAGTATCAAGTTTGGAAGTCAAATAACCTAAACTGCAATAATGGAGGACGCGTGATTGATAATAAAGTGACTTGAGAGCTGAATTGCACAAGAAGGAAAAGATTTTCCTTGCAATCGCAACGCCAAACTAAATTATGCAGGTGGTAACCAAAGCTGCTCTTCCATGCCATCGCACCATGGAGGAAACAAAGACTATATTTTATTTACCTAGTTCAACTCATTTCTACCTTGGATATGATTAGGCAATTGATTTTAGACCATTAGGATGACTATAAATATTTTTATTCATTCTTTTCATAAGGGGGGACAATTTAGAGAAAAACATGCACAATTCAAGATCTAGAGAGAAAAAGCAATGGAGAAAATTCACTAGTTTCAAGATTAGAGCTTGGAAAAATGAGATTCTTGGTGCAAGATCATCGACTTTTGTTCATCTTTATTTTAAAAACTGGTGATGCATTCAATTCTTTTCTCGTGTTTGTCTTTCAACATCATGTGTAACTAAAACTCCTAGTTGGGACAAATGATGGAACTTAGTGTGACCCTTTAATTTCAATTTTCAAGATTCTTGTAGTTAAATTTTCATGGGTTGATTTTACTTATAATTCTTAATGCTATGATAGCTGGCCATTATTGCATTTAATTATAAAAAGGGAAATTACAAAAAAGCAGGTGTTTACAAATTGTTTTTTAAAAATCAGGTGCTAAGTTTATTTATTCAAAAATCAGGTAATATATTAAAACCATAGCCCTAATCCCAAACAAAACCTAAATCATCTTTCTTCTATTCCTCCTCCTCTTCGATTCTCGTCTCTCTCTCTCTACCCTCTTTCTTGCCGCTGTCGCCATTGAGGAGCGCTCACTGCAGTCACTTTCTTGATTGTAGTTGTCCCAGATGAAGATGATAGGCTCGTCATTTTCGGATTGAGAGAAGTTGTGTTGAAGTTTGACTCAATCCTAGGGAATCCTGAAACACCGTCACTTGAGTTTGGATGCAGAGGAAAGGCTGGCTCTAGAAGAACGGATGACGAACAAACATGTTCTCCAGGGTGGCTATCTTGGCAGTCACTGGTAACCACTTGAGAGTCCTGATTGGCTAAATGTGATCTCCTCTTCTTTTTCTTCTTCTTCGTCTTCTTCAAACTGCATCGAGGATCCTGGGGAAGATGGAGAGGTAGTCCCGGGTCAATAAATGGGGAATTTTGGAGGACTCTTCCCCATACAAGACACGAACAGATTGTGCTATTGCAGACAGAGTCGATGGCAAATCAAGCTCAGAAGTTTTACCATGAGCATCTACTGCTTCTCGAAGCCAATGATAAAGCTTTTCCTTTGGAGTACAAGTAGAAACCACTTCTTTTCCTTTAGATTGGGGAACCTTCTGGTCCCTGTTACAATTGGCAATGAGAAAAGAACATGTATGCTCACTGCTACCCATGTTACCAAGGCCAGGCAATAAACCCAATCATGTTTCAGGTGTGGCAAACTAGCTGGCAGATCACCAAGACCCAATTTCATATCTGTAATGCGGGTGTGGAATTTCGGTGGCCCATAAAAATAGGCAATATGCAAGTGTTTGGCATTTGTGACCTATAAAATAGGTAATATGCAAGTGGTTTGTGGTGGATGTGGTTGTCAGTGGCTTTGCTGGTGCTGTTGTGGCGGTGGCGACGTGGTGAGGGTGGTCGAAAGTGGCCATAGTGGTAGTAGCGGTAGTCTGTGACCAAATGTTTGGTAATCTGTGACCAAATTTTTGGTAATTTGTGACCAATTACTCAACTATGACCTAAAAATTTAATAATATGTGACTCAAAAATAATCTGTGACCAACTAATTTAAAAATCTGTGACCTCGAAATAATCTGTGACGTACAAAATTTTTGATCTATGACCTCGAAATAATTTGTGATCAATTAATTTTAAAATATGTGACTTGTGACCTATTATTATGTATATGTGATCATTAATTATATAACTGTGATTTTATTATTTTTAATTAATTAACAAAACCTGATTTTTGCATTAGTCAAACTTAAAACCTGATTTTTGAATTGTGTATAGTTAATCCCTGACTTTTGAACTCTTCCCTTATAAAAATACGGAGCCCATTTCCCCAGTTGACAGGGGAAGTCTCATTTCCTATCATCTTCAATTCTTCATATTCCCGTATTTAGTCCAAAAAAGTTTCTCCCACTTTTGCCAGCCCAACTAACTCGATTTCCTAAAGAAAATAGTGAACTGTAATGAAGCAATAAGCAAGTTAGAAATTTAGACCACATAGTAAAATTCGACAATTTGGATAAAAGGATAAAGACATTCTTTTATAGTTGTCACAATCATTATTGAATTCTTAGGAGCTTGAATGCGTCTAGTTGAGGCTTAGTCGCATCATTAGTTTGAGCTTGACAAAAGTAAATTGATTGATTAAGAAGAATTCAACCAATTACAATATTAGAATGAATCTAGAGAGGCAAGATTAAAGGTAATAATTACGGTGAAATTGCTAATCCTAACATTCTCCATTCATACGAAAAAAATAAAAAATAAAAAATAAATTATAGTTAATTGCACACTTTTAGATCGATTTAGTATAAATAAAATATTTTAAAAAATTAAATTGAATCATTTTTTTTTTAATTCAAGTAGGAATTAGGAATAGTAAATCAACGATTAAATAATAGTATGTGGAAAAGATAATCCAAACTCTTAGGTCCACTTTATTGCTTATTCATGATATCACGCACTTACAATATAAAATATTCAAAACAACGGTCCACATAAGTACATATGAAGATATTTTGAATTTCTAGGATAGGTCCTCCAACTTCTTGAGCCACTTGGGCAATGTCTCTATCGATTTTTCAGAGGGGTTGGATTTATGGTTGATCGTTGATTCCGAGGCTGTAGGGGCATCCTCATTGAGAATGGGGTCTTTATGTCCAACTACCTCACATCAGCCGATCGGTCGCTCTCCACTATGATAACATCACCTTTAGACTCAATGGTGCCGATAGTATCTGCAATACTTAGCTAGAGACGCCTAACTCGGACTACAATTAGAGTCTCCGGCGTGCAATAAATTTAGGGAGATTTTTATAAATGTCACTAAATTTGGAAATTCACAAAAAAATTTCATGTGCACTAAATTTGTTCGAAAATGTCACTTTTTTGTTGTCAAAGGTCCAAAATACCCTTGATGTCACCTTTGTAAGAGCAATTAATGCTTGATTGGAATGTCATTAATGGTTTGATGTGATGATTACATTTTGATTATTTTATTCATTTTATATATGTATATTTAGGGGAAAAAACGTATTTTCTTCCAAAAAATAAATAAAAGAAATTCAAAACCTAATTCTCAAACCCTAAGTTCTACATCCTCCTTCATTAACACATAGTTTCTTCCAAGAACTTCATCTTCTTCATTCATTCTTCAAGAACACATGAATATTTAATTGATCATCCATTTGAAGAGGTTAGTTATTACAAATTGTTTGTAATTTCATCTCTTAACTCATTATTTCGTAAATGTTAAATACAACATGGTGATAATAAACTATTACTCATTGATTTCTTTGGTTTTTGAAATTTGTTTTGATGGTAAAGATATTTGGAATCGTTCATTAAATATGATCGATTCCATATTTAATGAAACATTGACTTATTTTTTTAAAATACATTGTCATGTTGAATGAGAATTGATTATCACCATTAATGTTCTGCAATAATTTCCTCCTAAAAATTTCTGAAATAATTGTTTTGAAACAAACCCGACAGTTCGTACTGAAATGGTCGAATATAGTGTTTCAAACCGTCGGACCCCGACAGTTAAACTGCCGAATTCGACAGTTTACAAACTGTCGGGATACACAATTCAACTGTCGATTTCGACACTTGAGAACTGTTGAAAACTTTGATTAGCTGTTTTTCACAATTGATGGTATTCAATATCGATATATTGACTGTGCAGGCTTCTTACAATTACAATCTCAACATTTCAGGTATGTGTAATGATTTGAGATTCATCATCTCTTACGGGGAAAATTTTGCAAATGTAGACGACGAATGGAAGTGGAGAGGGGACAAAACCACTTCAATTTTAGTGCCGACAAGTATTACGGTAGCTGGACTTATTTTACAGTTGAAGAAAAAACTTGGTATTCTTGATCCCCGCACCGATAAGCGATCCAGATACGAGTCTACCACGTCTACCACATGACTCAGAAAATGCACTCGTTGTGATAGAGTTGGTCATAACTAGACCAAATGTTCGAACCCCAATGTAACACAACTCACGTAAACCAACTTCATATCCGGATGTGGTTGAAGTTGTAATACAAAATGTTACCCCTTGCGTTGTACATTTTGAACTTATATTATCATTTTCTTTTCATTATTACTCGTTATGTTCGCATAACAATTACGTATCCTCGTGTCGAAGTACTGCACTACATGCGACACTTCAACTGTCAATCGCGGTCGATTATTTATGTCATTCTCCATATAGCATGGTGTTTCTCAACACATTCTCGGCTTCCATTCAACATTTGAACTAAAATTATGATTATCATTCCACTATCGTTTGCGGAGAGTAGAAGAGATGTTTTAAACACCAGCACAATACGTATACATAGATAAGACATCGTATAATATCCCGACAGTTCATGTGTCGTTCCCGACAGATTGTCTCTGTCGTTCTCGACACTTAGCACATACTAGAAATTGTAAGTACACATACGATGCATAAGGGACATGCTTTTGCCTCCCGTTCGGTAAAGACTGTTATTAAATACATCCCTGACAAAAAAAATAAAAATGCAAAATACTGATCCACATACAAAACACTCCATAACATCCTAACATTTCATCGGTCGTTTCCGACAGATTGTCTCTGTCGTTTTCGACAGTTGGCACAGATTGCAAACTGCAAGTACACATACAATGCATAAAGGACATACTTTTGCCTCCCATTCGATAAAAATCGTTACCAACTACATCCCCGACAATGGCTAACTAAAAATTAAAAAGGCAAATACAGTTCCACATACAAAACATTGCATAACATCCCGACATTTCATCTGCCGTTCTCGACAGTTGTCTATGTCTTTCTCGACAGTTGGCACATACTGCAGATTTGTGACACATACGAAGAAAAGAGACATGCTGGTGCCTCCTGTTTGGTAAAGATCTCTACCATCTACCAAATTCATCCATAACAAAAGAAAACAATTATTTCAAGAGCTGCAATATTCGTTAATAAATTTACAATAAGTTACAACATTATTAAAGTCACACAATCTCAATCACAACCTAAATTAAAATTAACCCAAATTACAAGGACTAAAAATTAAATTATAAATAGAAACAACAATTAGCATTGAAGTCCTGAACTACTTGTTTTGTTGCAATCAAGCCCCTACGTGAGCAGCCACGACTTGCTTCACTTTCAGTGGTTTTCCTTGACCTCTAGGCTCCCGTCTTGTTGCTCCAATGGAGGTAGAAGAAGACGAAAATGAGATGTCCAGTGGAGCATCTGAGCATGATTTTGGAGGGAGTGGATCATTAGTCTGGTGTTCTTTAGTCGCCATATCTACAAAATTAAAAACCTCAAAACAAAAAATTTCGAATTGTATGGAGAAACAGAGAATTTTGAGATGGAAAATATTTTTAGGGGAGGGAACCATGGAGCTGGTGAAAATTTGTTGGGCAGTGGAGTGAGTTTAGGGTTTTAAGTTTCTTGTTTTTGTTTTTTTAAATCTCCAAAAAATTATGACAACTTACACATTTTTTGTACAAATGTCTAGTCTAGTCAAATCTCATTTATTGAAGGCATGTTAGGTATTTAATTTATCTACAAGGGTAAAAATGTCCAAAATTGACAATCTTGCAACTACTTTAAAAATGTGACATTTTGGTAATTACATGGTAGCAAAATGACATCCAGTGTAATTTCCTCATTAAAAATTTATCTATGAAATTTCGTCAGGGTTAGTATAAATTGTTTAATTTCGTCAGGGTCAATTAGAGTCTCCACCCGGTATCGCAATAAATTTAACAATGAAGAAATTTAGTAAGTCTCCATCGGTATTGTGAAAATTTGTAAGGTGTATAATTTGAGACATGCAGTATTTCATACCTTAATTCCAATCAAGGTTTAAAATTGTTTCTATCTTAGATTTTGCACACTTGAAGTACATAGATTTTAGTTTTGGAGCTCTACGTTAAATCAGGTGTTCAGCAATCGATTCAACGGACATTGACATGATTATTCATTCAAGTTGATAATGAAGAGCTGAAAAGAAACATATTATTGCATCATCATCATTATTATTATTTAACCCTTTTCAACATAAAATACATACTGTTCGAGATTTTCAGCAGTCACAAATTCATGTATAATTGGAGAGTGGGATATTATATGTTCAAGTTAAACCAGGATTATGCTTCAGCCACTATTGCATATAACAGGAACCAGGCTCTTCCGGGGCTGATCGACCTGGCCCAGTCAATGGAGCAGCAGCTACTCCTCTTTGATTCAAAAGACACCTAAAATGCGCTAATCTGCCTGCGACTTGTGCTGTATCCTTAGGTAGATTGTCGTAAGGTGTCCATAGCCTCTCTATGTCCCACAAGCACATTAGAGACAAAAAGAAAGGAATAGTAAGTTTATTGATAAATCATTGCTCAAGTAAATTGTAAATCCAAGCCTTGTGCACGGCCGTTCTCTTACGTGCTGTCTACTTTATGAGGGAATATTCCCTCTTACCACTCATGGCAATCTGTCTCGCTCCCTAGGATTCGAACATATAACATCCTCTTAAGAGACTTAAGTTGAATCATAGTAAGAATTGAATAACTTGTCTAATTGCTACCAGAATTTAACTTAAATCTCTCTTAGGAGAGGTCATGTGTTCGAATTATGTAAATGCGACAAAAAGTCGCGAGGGTTAAGTAAGTAAAATAACGGTTTGGGCATAGAGATCAAGTCGTTACATAAATACAAACGAACAAACTGTTTTTTGAGATAATTTGGTGCAAAATTTTATGAAGCCTAGCCTAAAATCCCATGCTACATCCAAATCAGGTATGAGGGAATTTTTCGTGTGCTATTCAGAGTTTACATAGAGACTATAACAGTGCAACATTAGTATAAAGTTTTGAATCCATCCATTGAGAGAAATCAATAGAATGACGACAAATATATCAATCCTTATATTAAACCTACGGTAGTAGCTAGGTGAAGTAAACAACATTACCATGGAAAAGAGCGATGTTCAATATTTAGGAATAGATGGTTTTCAAAGAAGTACCTGCAGCTGCTGCAGCACGCGGCCATATGGTTTGTTCAATGTCAGACCCGTCAATATGTTCACCCCACATGCATACCTCACCCCCCAGGACTAATGCTTGTTTAGTGGGATCAGTGATATTAGTGAGAGGCTCATTTAGATAGAAATCTTGCCAAGTCGTATCCAAATGATCCAAATACCACACGTCTTGATTGCTTACAATGCAACGCAACCCGGCTGCAACCACTTTCTGAGCAACACCACCCCCAAGCCTGCAAGGGCATCACAAAAAAGCTATTAATTTTATCTCATTTCATCTAGGGGGAATTGAGACGACCTGAATTGCATAATAAATTAATGAACAACAAAATCCAGCAACTAAAATGCACAACAGTTCAGTTAAATCCAAGTCAAGGATAACAACACAAGGAGCAGAAAAAACGCGTCTCTATGCTGCCCATCTGCATAATAATAATAGAGCTACTTTTCTTAACATGTCATTCACCTTATTGGATACATCTTATCTGAACATCTTTAAGCAATTGTTAGTATACAAGATATAGAGCCCGTTTGGTGCACATTAAAATGAGAAAATGCATTTTTTTGAAGTGATGTGATGGGGAATATGTGACTGAAAAAGAAGAAAAAGTTATTGATGTGATGTAAAATATTATTTTATTGAAAAATGTGTGGTTGAAAATGAGTAGAAAAATGAGAATGAAAAAAAAAAATGTGGATCAAACATGGGCATAATAGTACGATACATGAAATTTTATGCTATTAATATGGCTATCAGAATCAATAGACATACCAGTTGTGGACCACAGTTTTCCGGCTCAACTTATTGCCAAAGTTGTTGAAAGTCTCTTCCCTGTAATTTTTTACATTTCATTAGTCGGATGAATTAGCACATAAACAAATGGCTAACTCACACCACACCCTCGTACCAGTTTATGATTTCGTATCCATGGGACAAAGCTATCTTCTGTGCTCGCAACACAAAATACTGATATGCCCCTGAACTGTTCAGGTGATGTTTTTGTAACCTGTAAACATATCTAGGTTTGCATATAAGTAAAGAAACAAATTATAACTAAGAGAAATGAAACTATAGATATTTAATGATTTTCAGAAAAGCAATATAGTACAGCTCGAATACTAATCAGATAGGACAGATCGCTGATATCAAAAGATGGAACAAGCGAGTTTGTACAACAGCCTTTCTAGACTTAAGAGCAGATTGAGTGAATAAACAGGCATGAACAAATTGTATAATTAAATGTATGTTTCATCAACTATGCAAAAACGTGAAACAAATGTGAAGCATATAGAAATGCCCAAAGATCTAGTCTATAGTCTATTACTTAGTGAATATAGCCATTCACAGAACATCTCATAAAAGATACTGAATAGGGGAAAAACTAAAAATATATATAGTTAAAAACACTGCATACTGCTTGGGAGATAATCATGCACTCTACAAAAACTAGAGAGTTCCAACTCAAAAACCAACTCAGATAAAGAAAATTTGACAGTATAAGTGATGTTATTTGAATGAGAGTTCAGAAAATAAGTAAATCTTAATACTATTACCATTTGCTGACATGAGGAGTCAACTCCCAGCAAGCTGCAATCAAGGTTCAATTGTGTACATCAGTACAACATCACCCGTATACTAATAACCATCTAAAGTAAGGTAAAATGAATGTTCTCATAAGCAAAATAAATGCATGAGCATGTGAAATTTGACCAAATCAAATAATTGTGAAATGAAGGTCAAATTACTGATTATATTCAAGTGTAAAGTCCATGTTATATCTCCCAGGATCAGATCATAATACAACTGAAAATGTATCTAAAATAATTAGTGACTACATATTTGATAGTATATAATGTGGGCCAGATGACATTGGTAAGCACAGGGATATTTGTTGATACCCAATGTAGAAGATTTTCTTGAAAAAAGAACAAATAAAAGAGAGGCACTGAAACAGTTCCGCAAATGTTAAGATCTTGCTTCGATTTGTTTAAAGTTTCTAATAAGAAAATCGGATTTAGATAGGGTATATCAAGTCCATTCTAATGGGAGATATTAAGTGCATGTTGAACACATATTACTGGATACAACTAGGATATACTTAACAGGTTTCAGCTGTTTTTTTCTTCCTTAATACTGTTGCTGCTACCAAACATGCCACAAAGTCAGAAACCAATCATAGCACATTCTGCCTTTCCAATCTAAAATTCAATTTCTTGATATTATCTCATCGAGCTCCCACCAATTCACTCAGGATGTGGGGGTACTTGCTGCTTTAACATCAACTTAATAGGTGACTATCATTAACCAATGCAGTTGGAACTGCACCAAATCATCATATCAAATAAGGTATAAAAACAAACAAATTGATCAAAAGAATCATTATTCCTTTGTTAATAAGAACAAATGAAAATGACAATACAACAACTTAAAAAATGAACATTACTGGAAATGTAAATCTTACTAGAGTTAACTTCGTCGCCTCCTAGGTGAATAAATTTATATTTGAATATCTTACTGAAATCTGAAAAAAGAGAACTTTTGTGAATTGGAATTGATCGTAATCTTTCTAGAAAGGAGAGATGAGAAGTTCCAATAAGTAGAAATGTCACCTGAAAGAATCCCATCTATCAATTTGAAAGTAAACTCATTGCTGACATCAAGTGGCTCCTTACAATCTGTTGACGGCCATAGTTCAGGATAACCGATCCCCCTAAAAGTCATATTTTGTCAAACTTATTATGCTATATCCTAAAAAAGGGAAAAAGGAAACAACTTCCAACTACAAGTTGCCAATTGCAAAGATGGAAGCATGTATATATAGGGAGAGAGGGAGACTTTAAATTTCATTCTAAAAATAAGAAATGGAAATTGTAATGCTCTGTTCTCAAACTTTACAAGATATAGCACAATGTCTAATATTCTGGAAACCCAAGTGAACATAAAAAATTAATCACATGATTATTTGCGAACAATAAAAATTTCCTGGCACAAGAAAATCTGATAAATAAAGTTCATACTTACTGTTCACATGCTTCCAGATATTCTAGGATCTAGATTTTTTCCTGGTAGGTTAAGTCATAGGTTAAGTTGATTCCTTTTAGTTACATTACTTGGTAGAAAAGTTTAGGACTGGAGTTTAGAAGCATAAATAACAGTTTCTCATAATGTATTCACGTTTTGCACATACTCTACAACTGTATGTGCAGTTCAATTCTATTCCCATATCAACAGAAGTGTTCTTCATTATGTCCTTAAAATAGTTCTCCTGAAAGCTGCCAAGGTTCTCTTAGTAAAATTATACAATGAAGGCATCAAATCAGAGCCAATAAACATACTAGGAATCAAGTATTCAAGAAATTGATGTTTTTGTTAGGTTCTGAATACCACGACGACAGCACGGGTTCATCAAACTCTTAAGGCAGCTAAATTAGTAGGAAATCTCTAGGTATTTGTACTTGGTGCTTAAACACGTCATCCTTGATCAAGTCTTACAAGGAAAACAAAAATTTTACTTCATTTCACAGAGCAACCCCGTCAGCACTTAAAAAGCATGCTCGAAAGAATAAATAGGTTCTCCTGTCACAGATATTACTAAAATAAATCATGTCCACCAGTAGTCAAACTTAGCAAACTAGGTTTTTCCCCCTCGCATCGACAGATTTGTGGAAAAAGATGTAGTATTAGCATAACTAGTGCTTTTAAATGTTAAAAGCCGACTTGTTATTATGATCAAAGTTGTGTTCTCAAAGATTCTAAATTTGTAAGTTACATATTGAACATAGTACCAAGAGAGAGCGTGTCCAGGAACATCAATTTCTGCCAATACATTAATTCCTCGTCTCTGAGCATAACTGCAATATCGGAAATTAACGAATTAAAATCACGAAGCATAGACATTTAAAAATTAATAAAAATTAACAATAGAAGACTGAAATCACTTGCCTTACAATTTCGGCAGCATCTTCGATTGTATACCGTTCTGAAATTGAATATGCACCATCCCACAGTTTAGGATACGACGGTATCTCAAGGGGGAAAGATTGTGAATCTACAATGTGCCAGTGCAACACATTCTGCAGGCATATAAAGTCCTTAGAAACCGAGTGACTGATTTTTAATTTCAACTTTCAGAATAATCTTATCAAATAAGAAATGTCCAAAAAGAAACACAGCCTGACACTTATAGAACTGCAATTAACAACAGTAGGCTCTTATTTGACCATTCAAATGGCAATAGTATCATTGGCCAGAAATGTACCAGCATACGTAAAGTATAAAAGCTAACCATCTTCATCAACGTACAGTTCCTAATTTCAGGTCAAAAACACAAGCGCAAGTGCAGTGGCCAATGTCCAAAATTAGTTCAGACAACTATGCAAAACAAAACAATGAAAAGCTTTGACCTCATCCCTAACAAAAGTGTGAAGCCTTAATAACTACTGCATGATCTGATTGAGCCTTTCCTCATTATCCAGAGCTATGTCTGGTTGCTTTGTGGTATTCTCACAAGTATATTTCAGATAGTCAATGAAATTACTTGATTTTAAGTATGATATGATCCTTCCCTGCTTCTTCCAATCGTAGAAATGTTAAATAGCATAAATAGTATGAAAGAGGGAAAAGAATATTCCACACTGAGATTTCTCAAGCACCTCCCAACTCAATGCCAGTAATCTCAGAGTGGAAGTTGGAAAAAGAAACATGTAGACAAATAGCAACTTCTAGATTACGTACCAACTTGGCATATGACATAGAATCAATAACCTTCTTTATCATCAGCAAAGGTTGATAATGCCTGGATGTATCTACATCATGAACAAGAGGAATATGACCATAAGCATCATGAATTTTCTATAGGATTCTTTATATAATAGGAATTAGGTAAGGGATTTTCTTGCAAAGAAATCCTAAACTTCACCTTTCTATGCAATAAAAATCTAGAAAAGAAGTTCAACGAGGCCAAAAACATACGATTTTAACTTAGCAAAGGGAATCAGAAGCATCTTACCAATCAAAAGCCCTCGATATGAGAACCTTGGCTGATCAACAATGGTCCATGGAACCTGATGGACCACAATTGCTCTAGTCGTAATGTTAAAATAGCATACTTGGCTGAATGTCTGTGACACATGGTAAAAAGAGCATTTCATCATCTATTATTTTCCTGCTTAAAGCTCAATACAAAAAATTATTTGAGCACATATGCAAAAACATCATACCTGCAGCCCGTGCAAAGCTCCATAAACTGTTTGTGCCTGCACCAAGACAAAATAAATGTAGAAAATTGGTAACAAGCTGAACACACTATTGCATTGCTCATACGATTTTACGATTCTAAATAGTTGGCAATGGTGTGCAGGTACAAAAGCAAATAGCCTTTTTGCAGAAACTCGAGTAGTAATAATGTTCATATTTCTTTGCCGCATTTTGTACAACCTTAACCAGAAATTATATACTATCTTCTGTAGAATTATTCACAAATTCATAATACACTCTTATACATTCATTAGCTAAACCACCCAAAGTTACAGGAAAATCTAGTGAATGGAGAATGAAAAATGTCAGATATACTTGCCAACTTTTGACTGACTACACATATAAGAGACATGATAATGCAATCCTATTGTTTTTTATCAACCACCGATCAAATCATTAAAAATATGTATTATGATCCTAATAAGTACAAAACATGGTGTCTACCTCAATATGAGCATAAAGTAGAGTTCCCTGTGCAGGGATATTTAGCTTGTATGATTCATCTATACCATGCTGTAACTGCAGTGGACAACAAACAACTGTTAGGAGGAAAATTTAGCGTTGAAGCCATAAATCAGGTTGAGAAGAAGTTATTTAATTCAGTGGGAAGAAAGATAAGGAAATTTTTCATGATAAAGACGGGCAATAAGAAATGGCTCATGTATGCCATGGTGTTCTGTATTCTCAGCAATCAATTCCATTTATACTGAAGAGAACCAACCCCCCCCCCCCCCCCCTGGACTCTTCGAAATGGACGAAATATCCACGTCGGACACTACACGACATGGGTATGGGTATCGGATATATGTCAGATCCTCCAAGTTTCAACCGGACACTTCGCCGTTTCTACTTCTTTCTTCTTCTTTTTTTCTTCCCCTTTTCTTCTTCGACAGGGGTACTAGGTTTTTCCTTCTTTTTCTTCTGTCTTTTTTCTTTGCCTTTTCTTCTTTTTTTGCCTTATTTCCTCGTATTGATGGTTTAGGGATTTATTTATATGAAATGAAAATGGGTTTCATACAGTGTTACTTAGTATTCGACTAAATTTAAATTGCAATCAAATCCTTCATTTTTTATTTTATATAACATTTATTAATTAACTTTCCAAAATTGAAAATTAAACCCCAAAATTCTATTTTATTCGTTTTAACCCCTAATTCAATACTCATTTCCTTCTTTGTGAATGACTGATTTTGGTCTATTTAAAATGATATATTGAGTTAATAAAAAAAATTGAAATTTGAAAGACGTACCCACATATATGTCCGAAATTTGGACTTTTTTGTAACCATGTCCCTTTATCCTATATTCTAGAAAATAAAAGATCCAACACCTAAATACATACCCATACCCGAGTTCGAGCATCATAGGTTTCAACCATATGAAATTTGACCATTTGAGTATTCAATTATGAAAATTTATTTAAAAATAACTGATTATGCTGACCTTCTAATGTGAAACCTTAGTAAATCAATTTTGTTGTACTAATCCATGATTGATTTACAAGTGCAATGGTTCTTTTGTTGCAATAACCACCATATACAGTATAAAACTTACAGATATTAGCAATACACACACAGAAAGAGACAAGATTGCAAAGCAGACTCCAAAAACATAAAACGGTCTAGTTTTCATGACGCATACCTCATCAGAAGGCGACGAGATAACTATATGAATTCCTTTTAGCAAGAGAGAAGGATTGAAATGGGAAAAATTGGCATCAATAACATGAGTTGCTTTGACAACATCAATTATTCTCAAGAATCCATCCTTGAGAATCCCTGAAGAATCGGGATATTTGCTTCCATCAGTCTTCAGTTCGAAATCATTCCCGAGATAAAGACTCCCATGCCCATGATTCACCTGCTTTGGCATTGGCCATATGTTCAAGTGCTTAACATCAGCAGCAGCTGATATCACAAGTATCAAAAGACCAAGAAATATGCTTTGCACCCCTTTTTGCCCCATCCCACTTCTCTATCAACCAAAACCAAATAACAAAAATTAATAATCAACCCATATCATGCATTACTTTTGTGGATTTTTTTTTTTTATGAAATCATCAATGTATTACATCAATATTTGTATGGGATTATTATGATTCTTGAAGCTAAAGAAAAAAAAAATTCAGCATTATTGTGCTGCATTCACATTGGTCTAAATTCATGAAACAAAATATTTCAGAATTTATGACTTGTAATTATTTCAAATCTGCATAAGCCATTTTCAATTTTTCAAAAATGCTGATAAGAATGCCCACAAGTATCGCAATTCAAAAATGAAGTAAAGATACCCAACTCAAAACAGCACCAGAGCTTCACGAAGATGAAATGTGGGCAGCTTTTGTTGAGCTCCAGCACCAAAAATCTTGAATTCCCAATTACACAAAAGCAAAGAAAACTGGTGGGGCATATGAAGTAGAAGCCAAGAATCTGAAGGGAAGAGAGGAAGTAACATAAATGGAAAAATAATTACATATTTATATTACAGCCACCCACTAAATGATTCCCTGAGATTTGTCTGGCCTTCATTGAAATTTTTAAAATTTTTCTTTCTTAATTTTATTACACATTTTATAAATAAAATAATATTACAGATGAATCTAAAATTTGTCATTATATTTAAACCTCAAATTCTCCAATTAATCACTATTTCAAAATTTATAAATTTTCCAAAATGGGGCCAAAGAGTGACTAACGATCAGGATGAGAATATATTTATGATTTATCTACGTGTGATTATATATATATATTTTTTTGGTGCATTATTGTGTAACGGCAACGTTGGTAGTAGCTGTCTTCGTTGAAAACGGACAAATTTTGTTTAAAAAATTCTTTTTACAAATTCCGTGCTTGAGTAGGTAGGATAAGAAATCTCTCCCCCGCCTTTATTATGGCGCCTTGAAAAGTTGGTTGCTCTTTCGCCTGCCCCTTGGTTCATACTAGTGGTGATATCAATAGAACAGATTTTAGCAGCTTGATTTGGTATTTTTTTGGTGACTAGATTGAGCAGGGCACGTCCAGAAAATGTTTATTTAGAACTCTTTGGATTTGTTTTTCAAAATTTTATAAATTAAAAAGTGGGTCGTGAGTTTGAAACTTAAAGCTCAAGTTGATGAAAGCTTCCAGGATATCCCTATTTTAAACTTTAAAAATAAAATGAATAAATTTTTTTGTATATTTATTACTTCACATGAATATTAAATTGGCATCTTACTGGTTTATGTGGTTGTATTTGTATCTCTTAAATGTATAGGAATGTGGACGGAATTAGGGGGGGCTGGACCGGGCTAGCATCTTATTGGTTTTTGTGGTTGTATTCGTATCTCTTAAATGTATAGGAACAAGGACGGATTTATTGTGGTTGTATTCGTATCTCTTAAATGTATAGAAATAGGGACGGATTTAGGGGGACAGCACGGTCCAGCCCCCAGCCCATTTAACTTTTTTTAGTAGAAAAATAATTTTTTTTAGTTATTAGTCCGGTCTGTAATTTGGTCCTGGATGCGTCCATGTATAGGAACATGTCACAATCATCAACTTTTGCAAATGCCCGTGATTTTATAGGTTACTAGTGATTTACCAAACGCACTTACTTTTTGCTTTATTGGTACAACTTCTTTTTAGTTTTTAAAATAATGAATATTTAATTACCAAATCAAGCATTAATGAGCATTTAAATGTTTTTAAAAAGGTGTCACTAAGGGTAATTTGGATCTTTCACACAAAAAATAGTGACATTTGCACCATTAGTAAAAGTGACAAATTTTGGTGAATTTTCAAATTTAGTGATATTTATGAAAAAAAATCCCCTATATATTATTTGCTTTCTTTGGTTTTAAAATTTTAATTTTTATCTTTTTGTATGAAGTTATTAAATCTCAATCATGTTTTGCTAAATATTCATTTATCATTTGACGGACAAACTATTTTTTTATCTTTTTACGAAGAGGACTAACAAAAATTGATATAATATATTTAATAAAAATATGAACTAAAAAATTCGATATTTAAACCTTTGGTGACAATTTTTTTCATTTTTAATATTACGATAATATTACTTTAACATTCTAAGCTTAGTACAGTATAAATGTAAGAGTATAAAAAATATAAAAATTATAGATATGATAACTTTATTAAATTATTCAAATATATTTATTTATGTTGATTTCTTAATTATATTTCGAACATAAATGCTTCTAAATCAAGCAGTATAAAATATTTAATGAACTTTCAATTAGCTTTATTAAATTATTCAAAAATATTTATTTATGTTGATTTTTTAATTATATTTCAAACATATTTGGAAAAAAATCTTACTTGATGATTTTGTAAATGTTATAACAATATTAAAATGATATTGAATTTTTAACTAGTAGATTTATTGACAACGAAAATTTGTGATAAAAAGTAAACCTCGAGGGAAGTTTATGAAATTTTTGAAAAGAAAGTGAGTGTCTACGTAATTATATCACGAACATCAAGGAAAGTTGCTCTTAAAATAATTTGGCCCACCTAGTGTATATATTAAATATTAATTGGCATTTAAACGAGCAGGTGGGATATTGAGCATGTTTGGCTAAACTTCAAAAGTTTACCAAGAGGACAAATTGACGGAATCCATCGGTTGACTGAAAAAAATGGAGAAATTGATAATTTTGACCAATTAAAATAAGGGCATTTTCATCGGATCACATTTCCTCTTTTTAAAAATCAAATATATTAGTTACACATTTCCATTTCACATTGTTTCACATAGTCACTATACAACATCATCTTTTACAATGGAACCTAAAGAAACCCACGAACACGATGATAATCGCTCAGATATTGCTTGTCATCTTCGAGACGCTATCTCCCAACCTGAGTACAGTGAGTGTTTTTGGATTTTTTTTTAAATTTACGGCTATTCACCGTGTTAATTAGTGATGTATAAAATGTCTTCATTTACTGCAAACTTTAAAACTTTTGAGTATTTTCATGACTTGGGAACATCATAAATATTGTAATCACTTGGGAAGTGCATGTGCATCGCAGAAAAAGAACAAGGGATTTGGCTTGATATTATTTTATTTTGATTTTTGTGTTTAGGCAAAAATTCCAAATTTTTCAGCATACAGCTTACATTGTGGTGAAATTTTATTTACGAAGATGAGAAGTTTTGTGTACAAGCATGGTAAGATAAGCTATCTAGACAATGTCGACCCTAATTTCTTTAATAGATTTCTTCTGGACAGTGTCATGAAGATGCTAGGATATTTTAACAAAACGAGATATCTTTATAAGTTAGAAGAAGAGATTGAGTGAGGTATCATTCTGATTAGTAATTGGTTTAGATTTTATGAGTTTAGTGAAGTTACTTGATGAAAATAGGATAGCTGAGTTGTATTGTTTGCCGCCTATAGTTAAAGTATTGGAGTTGTCATGGGAAGAAACAGTGCAGAATGATGTTCGTGTGGTTGATGTTGAAACTGGTGAGTATCTGGACAATGTTCCCAATACATATGAAAAAGATGATCAACAAAATCATAATAATGAAGTTGAGAAGTAAGCATGTTATGCTGTGGAGGTTTATGATGAGACATTAGAAGGTGATGACATGTACATAGTTGATGAAATGGAGAGTAATAGTGCATTAGATGATATGGAAGTAGATGATGAGGGTAAAATAAAACTTCATGCTGAATTATTTGTGGTTGAAGTGTATGGGGTTGAAACTTAGGTTGGGAAACCAAAAGTTGAGGTTACTGTTGAGGGTAAAATTGAATTGCATGCTCAATTACCTAAGGCTGATTTACATGGGGCTGAAATTGAGGTCCATGTTAAGATACCTAATGAGCAAGATGCTGAGTTTCAACCCATTAATGTTGAAGCTAAGGTGGATGTTGAGATTGAACCTCATGTTGTTAGCAGAGTTGGATGCTAAGGTTGAATTGCATGCTGATGATTAGATTGTTGAAGAATTCCACGCTGGAGAACCAGAGGTGCAGTTTGGGGCTGAGTTCACTACGGAGGTGCAGGCTAGGAAGGATGAAACAGAAGTTCAGGTTGAGGTAGCTACTGAGGAGCAATAAGTGTAGGTAAAGGACATGAATGTTAAGGCTACAGAACCTGCTTAAGATGATAAATATGAATGGTATTTTAGAGTATTTCAGTGATTCAAAGTATGAACATGAAGAAAACGTACCTATGGATGATAATGACGACAATACATATATCAAGGCAGGTTACATGCATGTAGTTGGATTGGATGTAGCTGAAGATGTACCCTACAAGAGATTGTACATATGTTTGAGGACTTGTAGGAAGGTTGTAAGGTATATTACACCCCTGTAGTTAGGTTGGATGGTTGCTTTATAAAGAGTGAGCGAGGTAGGCAGTTGCTAACAGTTGTTGAAATTGATGGGAAGAACTGCTAGTTCCATATAGCATGGACTCTTGTAGATGCTGAGAACAAATCAAATTGTCAATGATTCATAAAGTTGTTATTGTTTGACATATGGGTGTATAATAGTAGAGTTTGGACTTTCATCTTTGATAAACAAAAGGGTTTGGAGGACTTATTAAATCAGTTTTATAAAGGTGCAGAGCATATGTGTGTGCTAGGCATCTGTGCGACTTGACTTTATTACATAAATGACTGACTTTTAAGAATTTGTTCTTGGCTACAGCAATGGCAAAATAATTTCCAGAGTAGAAGAATGCAATGAATGAAATGAAAGATGTCAATGAAGAAGCTCATAAGTTGTTTAATGAAAAATCAGCCTCCTAGTAGAGCTGATACTTTCAAGAGCATTATAAGTGTAATATTCTTTTGAATAACTTATACGAGACATTTGATTCTTCTATTGTTCTTTCAAGTGAGAAGGCTATCATATCAATGCTAAAAAATATCAGACATCAGCAAATGATAAGAATAAATACCAAAGGGGGATCGGTACAAATGTGGGATCATACATTTGGTCCTAG